AGGCTAAAAGCTAAGTATTCACTATGCATTGAAGCATACAATGCTTCCATTCATTCACAGACCAGCTTTTTTTCCTTTTTGATAAGCTCATATTACACATTTTTCTTATAATAAAGGCATGTCCAGGCTGGTTTGTATTAGTGTCTAGAGCATCAGCCCACAGACTGAAGGGTCCGGAGTTTGATTCTGGCCAAGGGCACATACCTCCGTTGTAGGCTTGATCCTCCGCCCTGTTGGGGCGGGAGGCAACTAATCAATGTGTCTTCTCTCGTATCGATATTTCTTTCTATCTCCCTTCCACTCTCTCTAAAAAAATCAATGGGAAAATATCCTCAGGTGAGGATTAAAAAAAAAGAGAGAGAGAAAGAAGGCATTACTGCAGTTAAAATTATAAAACTTCAGGAGGTAATTATTTATCCTGTGTTTCTCCTCCCATGCCAGATTTAACAAGTGGTATAAAGGTTTTCCAAAAAGTAAATCTTATTCTCATTATCACTGAACAAAATTTCCAAACATTTTGATAATTGCTAAGTCATTTTGCATGTCACACAACTGTAGTTTACTAAATCTAAGCAATCTGTAATTTAATGTTTCTTTAAAAAATAATTTTTATTCTTCTTAAAGAATAATAATTAATCATTAGATGCTTTTAGAGATTTTCTGTGTGGAAGAATAAAATTTCCTATTTGAGGCTTCCCATAAAAATACAGTAGTAATATAAATCAAATAAAGGAGACTAAGATATTTAAAAACAAAATTGAGTAGAATTTGAATGTGACACTGTAATATATTAAAATTAGTCTTAGAGAGCAAAAATCCAGCCAATATAAACAGAAAACATTTGGGAACTTCAAAATATAATTGCTGTTTCTCATTCATTTGTTTAAAAATGTTGTTTTATTCAGGTACAGTAAGGCATGATAATAAACTAGATTAATGACTTTTAAAAATAACTTAATAAAATCATATGAAGTGGGAGCAGTTTTTTTCTGTGTACAGGATGCATAGGAGTAAGAGCTATGGCAAATAGAACAACCAATATACTAATGTAGGGGTTGAAAATAATTTACAAAATTAATTTAATAAAATGTCTAGAACAGTAACTAACAATTATTAACAAAACATTGAAGCTGTCTGTATTTGCATCTAACAACACGTTTAAGCCAAAGTGGAATTAATATAAATTAGTATGCAGTGAACTGATATGACATGATACAATAAAAATTAATGACCACTCTCGAGACCTAAGTTATGACATCGCCATATGCTTTCTAAATACCTTTTAACTTTAACTTCTCGGTTGTGTTGAAGCAGCACATTGTAGCCTAATTGTCAACTGGAATATCCAGAATATTTCATAAAGTAGAATACTACAGTTCCCTACCACAGCAGATAAAATAATTTAATATTTATTTGAACAAAAGGCCCATGGTTACTAACTTCAAACTATTGTTTTTTTTATATTTCTAGTACTAACTGTAGTCCTTAAAGCTATCTACAGTTGATGTTCGAATTGCCATGCTGTTTCTGAAAGGAACAATAGGTGTATCCTGAAGATTTAATGTAATTCACCCTATAATTTACTCAATGTGGAAAAGTTTCATCATAAAAAAACCTACTATTTATAGATGTTAAGATTGGTTCTACTACATTTTGTAGGACAAGCACAGATTTTTAGAAGAGACAAGCTGGCTTTCAACATCTGACTCTACACTGTGACCCTGGGAATATTATGTGTGTTCTTTGAGCCTCAGGTCCTGAACTAGAAAATGAGAACATCACCACAGTTGTCAAAGGGAGACAAGGTTAAAAAGAGCTAGTACGTGTGCCCAGTCCCAGGCTGGGCATAGTGTCGTACACTGGGTGTTCATGTGTTTTTTCTTTTCTCTTTCCCATTCCTGATAAATTTTGGCTATTTGGAGATAAGTGAAAAATATAGAAGTTACTGGAATAAGTCAGCTCCATTAAAATCTTATTATGCTGCAGGCAATAGTTATACATTTCCAAAGTAACATTCAATACGATGAAAAGATTGGTTTTAAAAATGTACTTACATATTATAATTCATATGCAAGAAAAGATTCTTTAGGGCAACAATAACAAATAAACTATATCTGTGTGTATAGTTTAATTTTGTAAAAATGAAGAAAAATACCCAATTTTATTAAATGTTCGATGTTCATGGACAGCTAACAGAAACAAAGCTACTTTACAGAGCAATCTCCATCAACATCAAAAAATATCAAAATAGAGTTTCTCTGAAGGAAAGAGCCGTTTTTTTAATGGGTCGATAATAATTAGAAGTTCCCATTATTTGTCCATGAAACTGCCTAAGAAAGGTGCTACTTCAAACAGGATTCTAGTAGAGCTTGGCACATAAATTTTAACTTTTCAAACCGCCCACTACTTTTCACCTTCGTACAGCTTCACTCAGACGAGCTCACATATACATATATTAATATTAAAAACACACATGGCTTTAAAGCAGAAAATCATTTTCTACAACAAAAGCAGGTCAACATATTTATACCCAATGTTCCGTCAGAGAAATGGATTTTCCTCATAAAGCTGCTAATTAACATACACTATTACGTGCAATATTTCAAAAGATGTGTTTCTAGGAGGATACGGTTGATCATGTGCAAGAATTCTAAGGCATTAGAAGTAGTTGTTCCATAGGACAAGTGCTGCCCTTGCGATGATATACTCTTGATACATTTTACAAGTCTTTCGTCTTCAAATGCCACCAGCCAGACAGAGGGAGACATTCATAGTCTACAGGTGGTTGGCTCAAAGTCAAAAACTTTGTTTAAAAAAATGTTCATGGAATAGCACCATAGAAAGTCTTTCAGAAACAAAACCTTTTTCCAACATTGCATTTTTTTCTTAAAGTGAATCCCAGGAAGAAAAAAAAAAGAGAGAGAGAGAGAGATCTTTCAGTTCTTACAAGGCCTACTTCCGCTTCATTTCATATTTTTTAAATACAACATTAACCATGACAACATCAACAATAACAACTACAACAGATCAACAACAAAAGAAAGACAATAGCAGCAGTGGTAACTTGAGTATGAACCACCCAGACAGTCATTTCATTTAGAAGAATCCAGTTCACACCGGTTGGGAATTTTTCCCCCCACCCCCTTAAGTTCATAAGCCAGCACAAGGCTTCTTGGATTTGGTGTGAAAAGGCAGCACTTTCGCTGAAAGAACTGAGTCTACGGATCAACTGGGCACTTTTCAGCACTTCAATAAATGACGTCTAGAGTTTAATTGCTATAATAGAAACTACTGACATTTCAAAGTTGTCAAAATATCAGTAAAATAAAGTGGTCTCGAGATGATCTATGTTTCAAAGAGGTTAATCTGGCCTGCAAATGAAAATAATGAAGCTGAAATATTCCAGTTTCCAAACATTGGACACACCTACATTTAAATTACAAACCACCCTCTTTAAGACTCCTATTTCACAACATTTTACAAGGATTTGGTTTGCACTGTGTCCAAGATACACGCCAAAGCAATTATCCTAAGAAACAAGGAGAGGGTTTTCCAGTTTATGACCTGCAAGATCCTTTTATTTATCCCCAATCTTGCAAAATTGTCAAAAAGAACACTCTGCAGGCCCACAGGCCCTGAACCTAATTGTCTGACTTGTGAGGCATCTGCGTCAAGCTGTGAGCGAAAGCTTGTGAAGTCTTCCTTGAAGCACGTCATGCCCTTCCACCAGCTTTATTCATCCCGTCAAGCTGGAGTTCAAATACCCTGGCAAAGCTGAC